AAAAGTAGCCTTGATGTAGCTGTTACAGAACACATACATCAGATTTAGAAATAGAACCATTGCTTTAGTCTGAATCTGAGTCCATTGTTAAGCCTAACAATACAATCGTATAGAATGTTTAAAACTACTACATGTGAAAACACACGAAACAATTTTATTTATTGAAACAGAAGTGGGGAGGTTGGCCCTGTGGTAGAAGTCTGGCTTAGAAGTTTGCGATGGCGAACCGGGTTTGAATCTGTGCGATAACATCAAATATTTCCCGCACTTTAAGCTGCCGGTACGTTATAAGAGTTACAGTCAATCCCTTAGCATGGATAATGTAGTTCAAAATTACAGACTGGTAGCAGTGCCATAAGTACAAAAATGCAATACAAATGCAACAGAAGTTGGAAGTGATACACATAGAATGACAATAATCCAAGAACTTTCATTTTCGTGATCGTTCACTGTTCGATTAGTCTCAAGTGTAGTTTAAGCGCGGTACATCAGTCTAAAACGGTGAATGTGTTGAATCTTAAACTTAGATTTTATTTTAGCTACATAAGTTTTAGCGTTATTTTGTGAAACAGCGTCACAACAAAAACTATCCTTCCGGTTTAGGAACTTCCACATGTGTACTCCAAACAGTATAAATTTGTTGTTTTTATAAGAGAATGTGATAAAATTAAACACCGTGTTGAATCTTAAACTTAGATTTTATTTTAGCTACATAAGTTTTAGCGTTATTTTGTGAAACAGTGTCACAACAAAAACTATCCTTCCGGTTTAGGAACTTCCACATGTGTACTCCAAACAGTATAAATTTGTTGTTTTTATAAGCGAATGTGAAATGTAATGTAGCATGTGAGAACAAAGGGTTTGTTATTATGCCTGTTGATAGAGTTGTCTTCTACAAACACTATTAATCCATCTTAAACTATAAGTCTAAGTTTTATAATCTCCGAGTCTTCATATTTAAACTGTTAAGACTTGTGACTTTCTGATTTTTATTAGTTTATTGTCTTGCTGTGACGTAATTGATCTAGAATATTTGGTAGACGAGAAATATATTTCAGAAAGATCAAAATACTGAAGAACTTTTAAGGTGTGTTGGCTTTGTATTGGAATTGAAGCTTAATGGTGCGATGTAAGCATAACACTCCAAGTCCACGGTTTTACCACCCATCTGTAGTTTACACAACAAAGTATTATTATTTTGCGACAACTATCCTTTGTGGCACAGCGGCATGTCTGCGGACTTACAACGCTAGAAACCGGGTTTCGATATCCGTGGTGGGCAGAGCACAGATAACCCATTGTGTAGCTTTATGCTTAACTTCAAATAAACAAACTTTTGTGCTTTATTTCTCCTTAATCGATTGGAGGAATAGTGATTAAGATACTTTACTAATAATCAGAATTTGTACAGAATACGAGTTTCAAGGCAGAATAACTAGTGTGGAAAACTTCCAAAAATAATTAATACCAGCGCACAAACCGAGCAGATTTGTTTTTATATATATACGGGCAGCCTCGTAATTCCAGAACAGAATCTTACGATTCAAGGCTATGAAACATAGTTAAAATGAAGGATGTTAATTTCAACCTTTTCATTACGTGAACGAGGGTGAAGATAGAACAAAATAAATTAAAATATTTTTTATGTCACGTGATCTTAAGAGAAGTTAGTCGTTTTGTGGCTGAAATCGGATTGGGTTCTGGTTTCTGTTACCTTGTAAAAGTGACGAACTTTACCTTTGTGTATTTCACTTTGGACGAAATGCAAGTATATAAATTGCTGTTTTTCAAAGAGCACTAACGTGCTAAAAGTAGCAACTGACAGTATTGAAAAAGTTGCGCAACATAACACATTAAAGCGTGTTGAAACACTAAACATCGTATTTCTCAGATTTGCAAATATATATAGCATTTAGGCTTCAGTTGCTCAACCTTGTAGAATGCGTATAAAGTGAAGTCAACTTTATCGACTGTTAAAAAGTACTTGTAGATGATCTAAGGAGTGGGCTTAAAGGTCAAGTATTGTTTAAGTGGATTAGGCCCAAAAGGATGCTTTATTTATAAAACTCATCTAGTAGTACAAATCTTCTATTATTTGTAGCAGTTAGTGTTACTTTTATGTTTTGTTATGTACTTGTATATTCAACATAAAGCTTCGACTGTGTTTCAAGCGTGCAGACTTTTTAAATGTTTTTAATTTCTGAGTATACATTAAGTTTTTGCATAGTTTTATTATTTTATACAAATGTAACATTACAGAGTAGCATTCTCCATTAAAATTAGTTTTCCTTGTTGCTCTTTGTGACTAGTGGATTGTTGAACAGTTGTTGTGGTGTAATTAAATATCTGCAGCAATACTTAATATTGTTTAAAGTTAGCTTTCCTTGTTGCCCTTTGTGACCAGTGGATTGTTGAACAGTTGTTGTGATGTAATTAAATATCTGCAGGAATACGTAATATTGTTTAAAGTTAGCTTTCCTTGTTGCCTTTGTGACCATTGGATTGTTGAACAATTGTTGTGGTGTAATTAAATATCTGCAGCAATACTTAATATTGTTTAAAGTTAGCTTTCCGTGTTGCCCTTAGTGACCATTGGATTGTTGAACAGTTGTTGTGATGTAATTAAACATCTGCAGCAATACTTAATATTGTTTAAAGTTAGCTTTCCGTGTTGCCCTTAGTGACCATTGGATTGTTGAACAGTTGTTGTGATG